GATAGGGGGACAAAGGATCTGAAGCATGCTCTGTGCTAACAGCAGAGAGACCATCATGGGGCTCAGACTCACAAACAGAATCGTGAGATCATGACCTGAGCCGAAGTCGGATGCTTAACTGACTGAGCCACCAAGGTATCCCTAGACTTTTTCTTTATTAATGAAGAGTTCGAATCACTAAATCTTGATGGTTTTTCTATTTCTGAACAATTGCATTGGTATCCTTTTATCTTTTTTGTTCCCTCCTTATTTCCTAGCCCACTGACTTCACTAATGAGTAAATACTTGCCCTGTGTATTATCATAAAATGTTCTGTGCCGTTCTTCATAGAGGATTACATTCTACTTTCAAGCTGTTTTTCCCATTGTAAAATTTTTTTTTAATTGTGATAAAATAACAAAATTTGCGATTTTAACCATTTTAAGTATACAGTTCAGTGGTATTAAGTACATTCTGATTGTTGCATAACCATTACCACTACCCATTTCCAGTTCTTCTCATTTTTCCATTACCACTACCCATTTCCAGATCTTCATTTTTCCAAACTGAAACTCTGTACTCATTGAATGATAACTCCTTATTCCCTCCTCCCCCTGTCTTTGAGAGTCTGTTTATAATTTTGTGCATCCTCTGAAATAATATTCAAAAAGAATGTGGGCACATTACTCAAGGTGGGGGGGCCGGAATTTAAAAAAAATCTTTTGAAATGAAGTAAGTATACATAGCAGCTCGTGGTAGGAGGAGGTGGGAAGTCTTGGTTTTTAGCATTTGCCAATTTCCCTGGTGTAAATATTTCCACCTTGGCCAATTTCAAGCTACCAGTATGATGTCATTGAAAATGGAGTTGGAAGACATGCACAGCCGCACATGCTACAGTATTTTCACTATATACATATGATAGATCTCAAGAACATATATAATAGTAAAATAACTAGGAGGTTATGATTTTTTAGTATGTATTTCTTTTTAATTATTTAGTAGTACATTTATATAATTTAAATTTTATTTTATTTCATTAAAAATTTTTTTAATGTTTTATTTATTTCTGAGAGAGAGAGAGAGAGAGAGAGGCAGTGTGAGCAGGGGAAGGTCAGAGAGAGAGGAAGATACAGAATCCGAAGCAGGCTCCAGGCTCTGAGCTAGCTGTCAGCACAGAACCTGACGCGGGGCTTGAACCCATCAACCGTGAGATCATGACCTTAGCCGAAGTCTGACGCTCAACCGACTGAGCCACCCAGGTGCCTCTATAATTTAAATTTTAGTTATGCCTATTTAACAACTGGTTTACAAACAGTTTTGAAAATTTAGCTGACTCTATCATATCATTGATTAGAAGTACCCTCTTTGGCATCTTATTAAAATGTAAGTTACTTAAAAGCAGGAACCACTTATTGTTGATATAGTTCAATGATTTTATTTTTTATTTTATATCTTTTAGAAGTTTATTTATTTATTTTGAGAGAGGGAGAGGGCTGGAGAGAGAGAATCCCAAGCAGCCTCCATGCTGTCAGCACAGAGCCTGACTTGGGGCTCCATCTCACAAATGGAGAGATCATGGCTTGAGCTGAAATCAGGAGTTGGATACTTAACCAACTGAGCCACCCAGGTGCCCCATTTTGATGATTTTAATAAATTGTAGACCTCAAGGTATTGTAGGAGGCCATAGCTAAAACTGGTCTTTGAAAAGAAAACATTGTTAAATGGTCTTTGGAATTATGCTAGCTAAACTTTAAGCAGAACTAAAATACCAAGTTAAAAAACACACACATCTGTTTAAGAATATCCATTTCATAAACAAGTTAAAGTCTCCTAAAGATTTTTTTTTAATTCCAGTGTAGTTAACATACAATTTTATATTACTTTTAGCTGTAAAATACAGTGATTCAACAGTTCCATATATTACTCAGTGCTCATAAAGGTAAGGGTACTCTTAATCTCCTTTACCTATTTCACCTATCCCCCCACTTCCCCTCCCTTTGCTCTCTATGGTTAAGTGTTTTTTGGTTTCTCACTTTTTCCTTTGTTCATGTTTTTGTTTCTTAAATAAAACAGATAGTGAAATCATATGGTATTTGTCTTTCTCTGGCTTATTTCACTAGCTACTCTCTAGCTCTATCTATGTCGTCCGAAATGGCTAGATTTCATTCTTTTTAATGGCCCAGTAGTACTCCCATTGTATATATGTGTCCACATATTCTTTATCTGTTCATTTATCAATGGACACTTGGCCTGCTTCCATAGTTTGTAAATAATGCTGCAATAAACATCAGGGTGCATATATCTCTTTGAATTAATGTTTTTGTATTCTTTGGGTAAATACTTAGTAGTGCAATTACTAGATTGTAAGGTAGTTCTATTTTTAACTTTTTGAGGAACCTTTATACTATCTTCCACAGTGGCTGCACCAGTTTGCATTCCCACCAACACTGTACAAGTGTTCTTTTTTCTCTACATCCTCACCGAACTTTTTTCTTGAGTTTTTGATTTTAGCTATTCTGACAGGTGTGAACTGATGTTTCACTGTGGTTTTGATTTGCATTTCTCTGATGAGTGATGTTGAACATCTTTTTATGCGTCTGTTGGCCATCTATATATCTTCTTTGGAGAAATGTCTGTTCATGTCTTCTGCTCATTTTTGATTGGATTATTTGTTTTTTGGGGTGTTTAGGTGTGGAAATTCTTTACGTATTTTGGATACTAACCCTGTACCAGATAATGTCTTTTGCAATATCTTCTCCCATTCAGTAGGTTGAGAGATTCTGCCTTGAAGTGACCCTGGAGCCACAAATCCCATAATTCTTAGAATTTTGTGATAACTTAAAAGATTTTAAACTTTCATTTTTTTTATTAAAAATTTTTTTTAATGTTTTATTTATTTCTGAGAGAGAGGGAGAGGGAGAGACAGCGTGAGCAGGGGAGGGTCAGAGAGAGAGGGAAACACAGAATCTGAAGCAGGCTCCAGGCTCTGAGCTGGCTGTCAGCACAGAGCCCAACACGGGGCTCAAACCCACAAACCGTGAGATCATGACCTGAGCCGAAGTCAGATGCTTAACTGACTGAGCCACCCAAGCGCCCCAAGATTTTAAAATTTTTATTTGAAATTATGTTTCAGGGGTATCTGGCTGTGTCAGTTGGTGGAACATGCAACTCTTGATCTCAGGGTTGTGAGTTCGAGCCCTACTTTGGGTGTAGAGATTACTTAAAAATAAAATCTTTTAAAAAATAAAATAAAATTATGCTTTAGACCGTTATATAATGCCTTGAACTATATAAAAAGCTATAGGGTTGTAGTCTTTCAATCAAACAAATCAGGTCTTGGATGTGTAGAATCTTTGTCAATTGGATTTGGCCTCTCCCTTGTCACTTTCCCCATATTCTCCATCCACATGTTAGGTTAGTAAGCTTTTTTGTTAATGTAAAGAAAAAGTTTATCCCCAAGCATATTTCAATATGGGAAATTATGCCAACAGGAATGTTCTTTACATACACATATGCGTATGTAGTAATTATTAATCTGCTTAATGAAATCCAATCATTGTATAATTTAATCACAGCAGCTAATCTGACAAATATATAAGCAAATGAAAGCCTTCATTTTGGAAAAACAAGTTAAGTACGGTTCTTAACGAAGAACGTCTTTATTTGTTTTTCTGATTCACAGCAATCCCTGCTGTTAGAGTTGCAAATCAGATACAGATTCTTAGAAAAAAATTAAAAACAAAAACTGACTTTCTCTTTTTCTTCTATTTCTATTCCAAAAGTTTTTGGTTATAAAGATAGAATTTTGGTAATTACAAAGTATTCCATTCAAATTTAGGCCAATTATGAGAGAAATTATTAGTAATAGAAGCTTTAGTGTATCTCTGATATTCTGACCTTAGAAGCATTTTAACTTCAGAGAGCCATTTTATTTTACTTCACATTCCAAAGTAGAACTCTTGGCTTACCTTTTTATAACAAAAATATTTGTACATCACTTCTCATTACACCTGATAACTACTTCTAACAGTTTTGTTGGCTTTTGTTCTTTCCACTAAGGCTTCAAAATGTCAAGAACCAATCTCCAGGCCAGAGCCTAACACTATAGTAAGGTCTGAATCCACTCCCGAAAGCAGTCTTGTTGGTTATGGCCTAGGAATGGGAGACCATCCCTGAAGAAACTATGTTTTGCCTTTCATAGTAAACTCAAAGGACCATAGTTGTTTCCCTGATAAATTCAAGGCAGCACATGCTTTAAGATCATGTAAAAGAAACACAATTTCCAAAAATTAAGAATACTTTATATCACATTTAGAGATAGACCACTTTTAACACTGTGATCTATATCCTTCCCAACTTTTCTATATGTGTGCATGCACATATTTTACAGCCTGTGCTAGTTTCCCCTTTTTTTCTCCCTTAGAGATTTACTGCATATTAAGGATCCATGCTGGGACTCAGTTTCAGTAAACTCGGATTATTCAGACAACTACTACTGTACTATATGTAGCTTTTCTTGTATAATTTATGTCTCTTTAAGATTTCTAATTTTGATCTGTGCGGCAAATATTCATAGTTCATTGTTTAATGGGGTTGTAGATGATGGTAACATTGCAAGTATCAATTGAATCCTTTATCATTGAAAATAAATTTGTTCCTACGAGAGCTAGAAAAAACAGTTCCTAACTGATGAGAGTGTCAGTGACCCTGGGAATTTTGGAAACCATTGTTAGTTCTTATATTAATATGTGACAGTGGTTACTTAGTGTCTTAATTTTAGCTCTAAATCTAAGAGAGATGCATAGAGAAACAACTTTCAAAATGTTAACTAGTTTTTAAATTTTTAATAGAGCATGGTATTATAGATGATGGAGGTTTTATATACTTTTTTATTTCCATATTTCTAAAATTAGTATATTTCATTGAAATGCTAAAAATATAAATATAAAAGAATAGTTAAAGTTATCATGTTTATTAGTATGTCTTTTGGTTCACAAAAAATGATTTGTGCTGATCTCTAGTTCCAGAAAGCTGACTCTGATCTGGATTACATTCAATACAGGCTGGAATATGAAATCAAGACTAATCATCCTGATACAGCAGGCAAGGTAATCTGCAAAAGAAATATATTTTTAACAGATTATTTTATTAAAATATTTTCTGATAGTATTTCTATAGCAGTATAAGTTAAATTATTAAGTAATAAATTTATAGAATCTTAAAATATTTTTGTGTTGGAAGCTTGATCATATATCCATAAACAAGGAAATTTGTGGCTCCTTTTAATTTTTTTAGTGACTCACATTCTCTCTCTCTTTCTTTTTTTTTTTGAGAGAGAGAGAGAATCCCATGAGGGCGCAGAGAGAGGAAGAGAGAGCGAGGGAGAGAGAATTCTGAAGTGGGGCTCAAGCTCACTCGAAATGGGGCTCTAGCTCACCTGGTGCAGGACTTGAGCTCACCTGATGTGGGGCTCAAACTTAAGAACTGTGAGACCATGACCTGAGCCAAAGTTGGATGCTTAATTGACTGAGCCCAGGTGTCCTGGCTACTTTTTTTGAAACTTAATCAAAAATTTTTGAATCCAAAGGTACCAACTACTGTGGAAGCCTATGAAATTCTGAGAGAGAATATAGTTATCTCTAGCGTAGTAGTTAAAATAAGAAAAGAGAAACCTTGGCAGTCATGATACTTTCTGAGGAAGATGACGATGTACTATAAATTTGTTATATGAACTATGGTTTTTGCAGAAAACCACATACTTAGTATTTGCATACTTAGTTATTCTAAGTTTAGATTGATTAGAAATATTAACTCTGTTTGTATACCATAAAATTATAACTACATGTACACATGCCCATGGAGATAAAAAGTTGTTTTTTTTTTTTTTTTAGTTTATTTTTGAGAGAGAGCGAGAGAGAGCGAGCGAGCACAAGTGGGGAATGAGCAGAAAGAGAGAGAGTGGGAGAGAGAGAATCCCAGGCAGGCTTCATACTACCAGTGCAGAGCCCCAGGCGGGGCTGGAACCCATGAACCCTGAGATCATGACTTGAGCCGAAGTTGTATGCTTTACCCACTAAGCCACCCAGATGCCCTAAGGAGACAGTTTTTAAGCATTGTCTGTTAACATTAATTGACCACTTATAATGTTTGTCTCTGACAGGACTTGCCAACAGACAAGAAATATCATATAAATATTTTTTGAAAAATTTTTATGCAATTAAGAATTATTGTGAATTGGGTGGAAATGCAAATTAAAATAACATTTTTTTTCCCCTCACCCCCACCCAGAGGAAAAAAAAAACCATTGTTTTTTAATTAAGGTTGGTTGATGCAGAATGTAACATTAGTTTCAGATATACAACATAGTAAGTGGACAACTCTATACATTACGCTATGTATACTTACCACAACTGTAGCTACTACCGTCTCTTACCATATAACACTATAAGAATACCATTGATTTATATTCCTTATGCTGTACGTTTCATCCTGTGACTTATTCATTCCATAACTAGAAGCTTCTTCCACCCACTCCCCTCATCCATTTTGTTCATCCCCTCATCCTTCTCCCGTCTGGCAACTACTGGTTGCTTTTGTTTGTTCTCTGTATTTATTATTCGCTGTATTTCTCTTTATTATTGGTCTTTGTATTTCTCTTTTGTTTGTTTTTCCATTTGTTTTGTTTTTTGGTTTCTACATATAAGCAAAATCATATGGTATTTGTCTTTCTCTGTCTGACTTATTTTCACTTAGCATAATACCTTTTGGTCCCAACATGTTGATCCAAATGACAAGATCTCATTCATTTTTATTGGGTAATATTCTATTATACATATACACCACATTCTCTGTATCTGTTCATCTATCAACAAACACATAGTTTGCTTCTATATCTTTGTTATTTTAAGTAATGCTGTAATAAACATAGGTGTGCATATATCTTTTCCAATTAGTGTTTTTGTTTTGTGTGTCTGTGTGTATGTCTGTGTCTATGGGTGTGTTCTCTTTGGGTAAATAAGGAGTAGTAGTGGAATTACTGGATCATATGGTATTTCCACTTTCAATTTTCTGAGGAACCTCCATACTATTTTCCACAGTGGCTGCACCAATTTGCATTCCCACTGACAGTGCACAAAAGTTCCTTTTTCTCTACATCCTCACCAACACTTATTATTTGTCTTTTTTGGTACTAGCCATTTTGACAGGTGTAAGGTGTCATTTTGTTGTAGTTTTGATTTGCATTTCCCTGATGATAGTGATATAGAGCATCTTTTCATATATCTGTTGGCCATCTGTATGTCTTCTTTGGAAAACTCTATTCAGGTCCTCTGCCCATTTTTAAATTTTCTGTGGGGTTTTTTGGTATTGAGTTGTAGGAGTTGTTTTAATATTTTGGATACTAATCCATTATTGGATATATCATTTGCAAATATCTTCTTCCATTAAGTAGGTTGCCTTTTTGTTTTGTTGACAGTTTCCTTTGCCGTGCAATTTGGTGTAGTCTTTTTAAAAAATTTTTTAAAAATGTTTTTGAGAGAGAGAGTCAGAGCATGAGTGAAGGAGGGGTAGAGAGAGAGGAAGACACAGAATCCAAAGCACTCTCTGGGTTCTGAGCTGTCAGTATAGACATGCTTTACCAACTGAGCTACTAGGTGCCGCGAGGAACTACAACTTTATTTATTTATTTTTTAATGTTTTTAAAAATTTATTTCTGAGAGAGAGAGAGCGCAAGCAGGGGAGGGTCAGAGAGAAAGAGAGACACAGAATCTGAAACAGGCTCCAGGGTCTGAGCTAGCTGTCAACACAGAGCCTGATGCAGGGCTCGAACCCACGAACCACGAGATCGTGATCTGAGTCGAAGTTGGACGTGTAACTGACTGAGCCACCCAGGCGCCCCAAGGAACTATAACTTTAAACACTCATAATATTGATCTAATAACTCCTCCCCCTTGTAATGTTTTTTATTTTATTTTCGAGAGAGACAGAGTATGAGCAGTGGAGGAGCAGAGAGAGAGGGAGACAGAGAATCAGAAGCAGGCTCCAAGCTCCAGGCTCTGAGCTGTCAGCAGCACAGAGCCCGATGCAGGGCTCAAACTCATGAACCACGAGATCATGACCTGAGCTGAAGTCAGACGCTCAACTGAGTGAGCCACCCAGGCACCTCAATAACTCCCCCTTTATTTGTGTTACATTTGGGAAGAAAACCATGATCTTAATGTTTGTCAACTTCAGTGACATTAGTTCTAATGATTATATATATATCAAGGAACAGGAAACTAACCAGTTACTAACTTCTAATATCTCTACATGGTGATAGTGCAATAAACATTCATTGAGCATTACTATGTACCAATCACCATGATTGTGTTTGTGTGTGTGTGTGTGTGTGTGTTCATATTCACATACATACATATAATTTGTTTAGCTGTGTTATCCTTATTCTAGTCTACTGTGATTTGGAGTCTGTTGGTAATTCTGCATAAAAGTCAACACTTTTCAATAGAATCAACATAAATACAAAGATACAGTAAATAATAAGCTCCTTTTACTGTGTTTCTCACCTATATTTGCTTCAGAAAGATAATTTTTTCTTTTGAGCATATTCCTTACAGATCTTGTTTTCCCCCATAATCAAAACTTTACTGAGAAACTGTTACCAAAATAGATCACTGCTGTATACCTTATAAAATTAAACATAATTATATTATTTTGGTAGATTAACTGGAATTACTGAACTGATAAGGCTTTCTGCAATATAACACAAATTCAAGAGGTTATGTGGATTATTAGTGTTGCTTTCTTCTAGATGAACACCCTTCTGTGAGTCTGGCCTTTCCTTCTGTTGAGTGGCACAACACTGTTGAATAGCCTATACCAAGAACCACCATCTAAGCATGGCTGCAAACTATGGTAATCTTGCAGCAACTTGAATGTTTTACATCCATAAAATTGGAATTTGGGCTTTAGCTAGCTGTTTCTTTGTATCTTTTTTCTTTTCTTCTTACAAGGACGGTTATAGTAAATCTCTAGCCAAAGAGGACAAGTCTGTCTCAGTATCACTAGGGTATATACTGAGAAAATACCTGAAAAGGCATTATAATATACACATTCCTTTATGTACATTTGGTGTCATCTATTATATCTTTGCTCCTATCAAACATACCACTAAGTTCTCTTAACTGTTTTCATGGTATTTCTCTTTTGTCCCTTTCCTACTTTTTTTTTCTTCAAGGTTTTTATTTATTTATTTTTTTTGGTAATCTCTTCATGACGCTCAAACTCACAACTTTGTGCTTGAGTCACATGCTCTTCCAGCTGAGCCAGCTAGGCACCCCGTCCCTTTCCTTCTTCCACTGCTCATGCTTTAGGTCTTGTTCACTCCCTGCAGTATTGTTTTATCAGTTTATAAGTTAGAGTTTCTCTTCTTTTTCCTTCTTGTGAGAATCAGCTTTTTTGTAAAAATCTTTTATGTGTTTTTTTTTTTTGAGAGAGAGAGAGACAGAGCACAGGAGGGGAGGGGCAGAGAGAGAGAAAGACACAGAATCCCAAGTAGGCTCCAGGCTCTGAGCTATCAGGACAGAGCCCAACGTGGGGCTCAAATTCACGAATGGTGAGATCATGACCTGAGCCGAGGTTGGACCCTACTGAGAACCTTCTGAGCCACCCAGGCGCCCGGAGAATCATCCTTATTTACAATTAACATCATCAAAAGCTTAGAGAAAAATCTCCACGGAAACCAGAAGTAAAGGACCATAAAGTGAGTCTCTGCCATAGCCGTGAGATAAAGTCCATGAAGGAGATATCTGAAGGGTAGGAAGATAACCAAGATAGTATATATAGTTTTATAGAAACCAAGAGTTCATTTTAAGAAGATAGGAACAAGAAGAAAATACGAGAAAGGGTATCAAAATTATATGCTATTGGACAAGCTTATCTTTTGATTGTTTACAATAATCAGGCAAAGGATGTTAGTCTATGGGGTATTATTACTATAGGACCTAATGGTTAGTGGGAATGGAGTGAGAAGAATGAAACTGGTTTTGAAGCAAAAACAGAGTCAGGAGAAGGAGTTAATTTCCCCCTAGTATAAGGAAGATCTATATATATTTGAAGTCTGTACAAAGGGAGATATTGAAAAGGTTATAGAAATACAGGAAATTTAAGGCTCTGGAGGAAGTGGGGAGGAAACAACAATAATAGTGGTAGTGCTAGGGGCTGAGTGGGATGAGAATGTTCATTGATGTTTTCGTTTTGAGATGAAAAGGCAGGAAGATGGAGTTTCTATTAGATGTTTTCTGTTTTCTTGGTATAGTAGTTGGTGGGGTCTTCTGTGAAGGAGTTGATGCTAACTGGAGGGAGCGCAGAAAGTTTGGAATAGTTAGTATTGCAGGGTTTGTTAAGGAGCCATTGGTGAATGCAAAGAATTACAAAGTGGCAGAAAGGACTCTTAAAATGCTTTTATGGAATAGTGTTTATTTATATTCTAAAATGAATTTGAGGGGCACCTGGGTGGCTCATTTGGTTAAGCATTTTGGCTCAGGTCATGATCTCACTGTCTCGGGATTGAACCCGTTGGGCTCTTTGCTAAGCATGGGGCCTGTGTGGGATTCTTCTCTCCCACACCCCCCCGCCCACTATCTGCCCCTCCCCAGCTCTCTCTCTCAGAATAAATAAACATTTAAAATTAATTTGAAGGGGCGCCTGGGTGACTCAGTGGTTAAATGTCCAACTTCAGGTCAGGTCATGATCTCATGTTTTGTGGGTTTGAGCCCCGTGTCAGGCTCTGTGCTGACAGCTAGTTCAGAGCCTGGAGCCTGCTTCAGATTCTGTTTCTCCCTCTCTCTGACCCTCCCCAGCTCATGCTGTCTCTCTCTCTCTCAGGAATAAATAAAAACATTAAAAAAATTAAAAAAAAAATACTATGTAAAATACTATGTAATTAATTATTGTGAACTATGTACCAAATGTTATGTATCTAATGTGACCTTATTTGTTTATTTTAATATTGCAATTTTGTGTGCATTGGTGGATTATTTCTATACCTAAGCTTTAAATTCCTTTAGAATAGGTCTTATGCTTCTTTTTTCCACTTCTCCCATTCTGTTACACAGTTGTGTAATTAAATACAGTGTTCAATTAAATGGATGGTAGAATGTGTGGTATATACTTTAATTCTTAAGACCTTAACTTTGCCTTTTCACAATTTAATATATTATTTTTTTTCTGATACAGAGAAATCCAGTTACACTTTTAAAGGAATTGTCAGCAATAAAGTCTCGATATCAAACTTTGTATGCCCGCTTTAAACCAATTGCTGTAGATCAGAAAGAGAGTAAGAACCGCATTTGTGCTATTGTCAATAAGACTATGACCATGATACAAGAACTACAAAAGCAAACAGATGTGGAGGTAATGCTTTCAATTGACAAGTTGGATTTGTAGTTTTAATTCTAAGTGTCTCTTTGAAAGACGAGTCCCCATTTTCATTTTGAGATTCAGTATTCAGTTTGAACTGTTGATAGAAATGTGATTTTCTTGATTCCTGAAGTATAATAGTTCTTACTGCCTTTTGTTTTAAAATAAGCATGTGGACTTGACACGGTTAATAAAGAGGTGTGCTATCTTTGATTATACAGCCATGGCAGAAGAGAAACTTTTCTAATGCTTATTAATCTACCAGCTTATAGTTCCTGTTAGAACTAGTGAGACTGAGAAATCTGGAAAGCATCTAAACCAGTGACTTGTTTTAGTTCTCCTTTTCTTCAGTTGGGTTGGTGGGCTTGGGTAATCCTGGCTTTCATTCTCTCTCTCCATTCCTCAATGCCCTATGATTTCATGTAATATTCCTTGTAACTGTGAGCTTTTATCACTGATTATGTAAAACTCTTCAGATATGCTGGAGTAAAAAAACCAATATGAACTGCTGACCTAGGCACTATCATCTTAAATAGCCAACTGAAGGATTTGGTAGAATTTTCATTTACTATTAAGGACAGGTTGAGGGCTTTCTTTCTTTCTTTCTTTCTTTCTTTCTTTCTTTCTTTTTTAATGTTTTTTATTTATTTCTGAGAGAGAGGGAGAGTTAGAGAGAGAGAACATGAGCAGTGAAGGGTCAGAGAGAGAGGGAGACATAGAATCTGAAACAGGCTCCAGGCTCTGAGCTAGCTACGCGGGGGTCGAACCCACAAACTGTGAGATCATGACCTGAGCCGAAGTCAGACGCTTAACCAACACAGCCACCCAGGCACCCCTCTTTCTTTCTTTTTTTCAGAGAGAGAGAGAGAAAAAGAGAGAGAGTGAGCACAAACACGGGAGGAGCAGTGGGAGAGAGCAAGAATCTCAAGCAGGCTCCATACTCAACATGGATCCTGACATGGATCTCAATCTAATGACCATGAGATCATGACTGGAGCCCAAATCAACCCAGGTGTTCCCAAGGTTGAGGGCTTTCAGAAGAAAAGATAGCTTGCATGTAGTTGGAATCATAAAGTAGAATTTAATTATATGGATAAAAAACGTCCATATAATTTTTTTAAATCTCTGGTATCAGCTCCTATCAATTAACTGGTAATACCTGCTTAGAGTGCTGTATTAAAGAACTGTGGGCATTGCAAAAAAAGCTATCATTATGGCCATGCAGCTAGGGGCAGCATACATGTTTTTTTTTGTTGTTTTTTTTTTTTGCCAACCCTGAACAAAAGATACTTGAATTATGGGCTAGTAGTAAGAAAAAATCTCAAAGGTTGATTACCAAGGTTAATCTGGTCAATAATTCTTTATATTACCAATGCCAGAAAAGACAACAGTACCTGATTAAATTTTTAAAATGATAACTTCAGGGATGCCTGGCTGGCTCAGTCGGTTAAGCATCCGACTTTGGCTCAGGTCATAATCTCAGTGTCTGTGAGTTCAAGCCCTGTGTCAGGTTCTGTGTTGACCACTCAGAACCTGGAGTCTCCTTCTGATTTTGTGTCTTCATCTCTCTCTCTGCCCCTTCCCTGCTTACGATCTGTCTCTCGCTCTCTCAAAGATAAAATAAAAACAAATAAATAAACAAAATCATACCTTCAATGTATTTCAGATGGTTTTTTGTTTTGTTTTATTTTTCTTGGTGCAAAAAGTGATTTTATTAAAGCATGGACAGGATTGTGGACAGAAAGAGCTGCCTTTAATTTTTTAAAAAATATTTATTTATGTTTGAGAGAGAGAGAGTGCATGTGTGCACAAAGTGGGGTAATAGCAGAGTGGGGACAGACATTCTGAAGCAGGCTGTGTGCTGACAGCAGAATGCTTAATGCTAGGTTTGAACTCACAAACTGTGAGATCATGATCTGAGCCAATGTTGGATGCTTAACCGACTGAGCCACCCAGGTGCCCCAAATGTATCACAGATGTTATGTACCTCAGATGTTAAGTCATGGGGAGAATTAACAGTGGAGGAGGAAAGAGTGATTAAAAAGGGCATAGAGGGAGGAGTGCGTGGGTGGCTCAGTTGGTTGAGCATCTGACTCTAGATTTCAGCTCAGGTCATGATCCCAGGATTGCGGCATCAAGCCCCATGTCAGGCTCTGTGCTGAGTGTGGAGCCTGATTAAGATTCTCTCTCTGTTTGCCCCTTTCCGCAACTCATGCTCTGTCTCTAAAATTTGAAGAAAAAAAAAAGGGCACAGAGGGAATAGAAAGTAGGGGTTTAAAACAGAAAGGGTGATGGCAGATATCTCCTCCTTTGCTGTCCTGCCCACCGTTCCCTTTTGGTGTATTCAGTAAACTTCTATATCCTTAAAACAAAGAAACAACAAAAACAAACAAACAGAAAACAGTAAGGGTGGCGACACATACTAATAAAGTAAAATGCAAAAACAGTATGTATATGATAACATTTATAAATACCACTCAAGTCATATATTCTTCATTGTTGGTGACCAGAGCCTGAAAATAGAAGCATATAAACTTGTCCTAAGGAAACAAATCTTGAGGAGAGATCAAATGTAGTTCTGAATGTACATATCAACATATATGTACAGAAATCCATAAATTTATTGAAGGACAGGATAAATTTAGGTGAGTGAAAAAAGAGAAAAGTGATATTTGGGGTTTTTTGTCTTAAGTGTTTATTTTTGAGAGAGAGAGGGGGAGAGAGCATGTGTACACAAGAGTGGGAGGGGCAGAGAGAGGGAGACAGAATCTGAAGCAGGCTCCAGGCTCTAAGCTGTCATCACAAAGTCCAACATGATGGTCAGACCCAAACTTTGAGACCCAAACCTGAGCCAAAGTTGGATGTTTAACCAACTCAGACACCCTCCAAAGTGATATTTTGAATATTATGGTAATAAAAATTGTCCCCACTGGATATAATAAGTAAAAACTATTTCTGACTGAGATTAAAATGTGGTGCAGAAAATAGTTACAATAGTGATAGAGGATTTCAGTCATCTAAATATCTGTAATGGTCTTCATTCACTTAAAAGATGTACCTGCAGGGGCACCTGTGTGTCTCAGTTGGTTGAACGTCAGCCTGTTGATTTTGGGTAAGGTCATGATCCTAGGGATGTGGGATTGAGCCCTGCATTGGGCTCCATGCCAAGTGGGGAGCCTACTCTCGATTCTCTCTCTTCCTCTGCCCCTCTCCCCGACATGCGCTCTCTCTGCCTCTGAAAAAAAAATCTTCAATGAGCAATAATTGCATTTAAGGTAGAAAACTAATGGAGCTTTTACTTTGGATCACATTACAAACAAGAATAAATGACTGAAATATTGGTTCTAAATCTTGAAAAAGGAGATAATATTTTAGATTTAATGTCAGATGTTGGGAAATGTCAGATGTGGTGGGACTTGTATCCACTACTTCAAAAATGAGATAGTAGAAAGTTTAGAGAAAATTTTCATGATCAAAATGTGGAAGAAAAGAGAATGGCATCTGTAGAGAGTTGTATAAATGAAAATAGTTTTATGAGCTCAGAGTTTAAAAGACATACATATAAGGTGGTAGACCTTATAAAGAAAGTGTAGAAAGAGGTGTATCAGTCATAGAGACAGAACTGTGAGAATACTTACGAAAGCCAAAGTCCAGATTAAGTTGAGGCTTCTGAAATTTTCTAAAATAACCAAAAGGGCCTTTAAGATTATTTTGGGAACATGAAGAACAAGAAAGGGATAAATTTACTTAGGGTAAATGGTGCTTGGTTTACAGAAAGCAAATAGAAAGTAAAACTGTTTAGGTATTGTCTTGCTAGAATCTTTTTTTTTTTTTTCTATTTTATTTATTTTAGAGAGAGAGCGTGAGTGGGAGAGAGGGACAGAGGGGGGAAGAGAGAGAGAGGGAGAGAAAATCCCAAGCAGGTTCCACTCTCAGCAAGGAGCTAATGAGGGGCTTGATCCCACCACCCTGGTGTCACCACCCTAGCCGAAATCAAGAGTTGGAAGCTCAACCAACTGAGCCATCCAGGCCCTCCTTTTTGTTACAATTTTTATCATAGTGCCAGGATTTTCATTTGCTAGGATAGAAAATATATTTGAGTTGATAATATTCAAAAATAGCACTTGAATTGGTAATACTAAAAAATAAATAGGGAGATGAGAACAGAAAAGGAGGTGAAAGGAATACTTTTTAGTTAGGTTTAAATATACTTAATTATAAAGGTGACCACCAAGAGACACATATATACACATGAAGGATTAAATTTGTTCCAAAATAAAAATGACCAAAACAAACCCCCAAAACAAATATAATTAAAAAGTTATTAAAAATAGAATGTGTGGTATTCCACTCAGCTCTAAAACAGTTGTTAAGGAGGAAATTTTCTTACAAGTTTTGGATTGGTTAATTCCTGGAAAAATTCTTTGAAAGTTTATGAAACAGGTGGTCTGAAATCTCTTGAACACTTATCACAATGAGAAACATGGACTCATGGAGAACAAAGTCCTTTCAGAATAATACCATTTCCTGTTTTTGAGATAGAAGAGGGAAATTCTGTAACTATTTGGGTTGCAGAAAGGCATATGATTATTTTACATTTTATCTATGTGACTATTTTTGGTAAATGTTGGCTTGATCAGCCAAATCAGCTGGGCAGCCCAATAGCCAAATAAATGTGGCTATATAAATTAAAATGTAAAGTAATTAAATAAAATAAATTCAATTCTTCATCTACTGATTGGACAGCACAGATATAGAATATTTTCAGCATCACAGAAAGTACTGGACAGCACTGCTCTAGAGATTCTTATTCTGTAGGTATAGTGTGTTCCAGATTCAGCAGTCTCTCTAGAGATGACCTACAGAGTTAGGCAGAGTTGTAACGATTTGATTCTGCGTATTGTACTTTCTATAATTTCCCCATTAACCC